ATACCTCATCTCAGAAATATAGACAGATACTGAAGGGCTGAAACGTTGTAATAAATATGGTGACAAAGATAAGGACAATAGTCTGAATAATGTAAATAGTGTACATAATAGCTCATCACAGAAATATAGATAGACATTTCTCTTTAGTAACTCAGCTCTCCAAATCTTTGTCCATCTCTGCTGTGGCCAGTTATTGAACTCACAACCCTTTGGGTCAAAGTCACTAGATTACTTCAACCAATGCTTTTATCTAATGCCAGATGTAGTTTATTGTCATACCCAGGATGATTGCTAACAGGAACAGATGATGTCACCATTGAGTAACAACAGTTAAAGGATCCTGTCCAATAACGAAAAAGCAGCAGACCTGAAACAAGTATTTTTTATTTTGTTCTTATTCATTTCACCCCAAGCAAGGCAATAAAGGTATTAAGTCACATGGGGTTACTGAGTGTGTTGCAGCTCTAGGTACAGTATGTTGCCTTGAGACGGTTCCTATAAATAAACACTTGTCAATGTTATTTCTGATATTTTAAGCTGGAAATCGCCTACTACTGCTTTGGAACAAAGTTAAACTTCCATTTTCCAAGACCATTTTGAATTTTTCTAGACTTCATGGCATGTGGAACTAGAACAGTCTACTCCAGTGAGTGAAATAAAGGGTTCAGTTCGACATTCCAACCACCTGAAGAAGGTCGGGTACAATGGCCGAAATGTGATAAATATGGCGACAAAGATGAGGACAATAGTCCGAATAATGTGTGTGTGTGTGTGTATGTGTATATATATATATATATATATATATATTATATATATATGTATATATATATACAAATGTTTGGAGGTACAAAATTTATAAATAGTTTTAAAAACAAGGAATGCATTGATTTTAATTTTAAAAGTCTCTAGGGCCCTTTCAGCCAACATCTCATCAGGCGACAATCATTGGATTAGCGAAAAGAATATTAACGATATTGAAGAGCAAAAAAGAGGGAAACACACTAAAATAACAAACAAGATATATATATATATATATATATATATATATATATATATATATATATATATATATATATATATGCCTTATTGAATAAATTACAGACATTATATATGTTAATTTTTAACAAAATACGTCCATACTCACAAATAACCTTGCGTGTATTGATATTAAAAAATGAGAGAAATGTGTTATAGCTGTTTAAATTTCTTTTATTTACATTTCCCAAGTACTTTCGATCTTCTTCCAAGATCATCTTCAGGGGTGTTAAATAGTACAAAACTGTATGGTGTTAGGGTAATGGATAGCAACACACAACTTTGTATAAATACGTGTACCTCTGAACACTATATAGTTTTGTTATACTTGCACCCCTGAAGATGACCGAAAGTACTTGAGAAATGAAAATAAAATAAATTTAAACAGTTATAGCACATTTCTCTCATCCTTTAACATCAACACACAGAAGGTTATTCATGAGTATGAATGGATATTGTTAAAAAGTAGCAGACATAATGTCTGTAATTTATTCAATCAGACATGCCTAAAGGAGAATATGCTACATATACACACACACACAAAAACAACAAATTTCCCATGATACAGGTTCAATTCCTGTCCGGTGCACATATTTTTTATGAAATTTCTTGGACATTCAGGCTGATAAATGTAGTTAATACTGTTTATCATAAACAGAACATTTGTATCGATAAAAATAACATATAAACAGAAAATATATTAAAATAATTGTCAGACTTATTTAATTTCATAATATATGATATCATTTGTTTATAATAAGACATGCTTCGAGCATATATAAGCGTTTGAGAGAAATCATGGAAAATTTGATGTTTAAAAACAGTAATTCAACTTTGCTAAACAGATGCTTCCTCTGTAGCTAAATAGTATAGCACATCAGGCAATATGATGGTTCTGTATTCTGAGGATACAGGTTCGATTCCTATAGGAGGACACATATTTTCTATGAAATTTCTTGGACATTCAAGCCTGTAAATGTTGTTAATATTGTTTATTATGAACAGAACATTTATTTAAATAAATGTATCTATAAAAATAATGTATAAACAGAAAATATATTAAAATACTTGGACTTATTCCATTTCACAATATTAAAAAGCACTTCTCCGAATTGAGCACTCTCAGTCATTGGCATATTTATTCAAAGTAAGTATGTAAAAATTCACCTTTCTTTCAACTGTGTGCTGATGGCTTAGGGGGAAAATCTCCAACTGATGCCAAATCAGTCGGGTTTCGATCCCAGCTTCAAGTAATCGGATGTCTAGCCACACTGATAAGCTGTGAAACAGTCTGTGGATGACAAAAACTATATATATATATATATATATATATATATATATATATATATGTGTGTGTGGTACTTGTTTGGAAAAAACCTCGGATCGCTCAACTTGCAGTAGAACAAATCGGTACCCATGGGAAAATGGGGAATAAAAACGAAAGAACATTAAACCAAGGCAAAAACTATCATCCAGTGTTTAAGCTCCAAGTCCAGAGAAAAAAAACCCAAAGCGAGTAAAAGACAACTATGCAAAGTGCATAATACACTAAGCAGAGCAAAACCTAAGATAATCCTAAGGAGCAAGGCAAAACTGCCTAGGTAGGTTTGCCTGGCTCCTTAGGATTATTATATATATAATCATTCACAAAACAGATTTTCTATTTCTACATTGAACTAAAAAATATAAAACAAACTCTCATTAATAATAACTTCCCTAATTGTATTGTTGATGAATAAATAAGATGTTCCATCAGAGATTTTTATACTAAACAAACAGAATATAATATTTCTTCAAGTGACTTCAAACATATCAATCTTTTATACTGCAAACAAATACATTCTAATTATAAACAAGATGAAAATATCCAAAAAAATTACTAAATACTAATATATCCATCACAGGTCCTATTAAAAAAAATAAAATTAATTATATACTGCACTAAATCTACTATATCTAATACAACCATTCATAAGGACTCTTCCCCACCCACTAACATATTGCTGAAAACCAACATTGTTTATAAATTTCAATGTCCTCTGGGAGATTGTATCTCCTATGGTAAAAATAAAATTTATGTTGGACACACTACAACAACATTGTCTCAGCAGCTAAGTTTTCATTTGAATAATATGTCCAACATTTCTAAACATTTACAACATACCTGTTCACATTCACAATTCAGAAAAATCCTTGTCAAAAATACCTCTATACGTTTTTCACAAAAAGAATAAACATAAACTAAAAATTCTAAAGCTACCTATATTAAAAAATTGAAACCAAACCATAATAAATTATGAATACTCCACAAATATTTTAAAATGTGTACAATAGATAATTTCAAATGACAAGGTTTGCACTAATAGTTTCATTTTTTTTACTACTCATTTCATAAAAAAGTCTTCACAATCATACTTAGTTACTTCCCCTTAAACAGTGTTAGCAATTATGCACTGATGCAGCATTCTTCCCTCCACATGTAAGAAATTTAACTTTAAGATGAACACAACAATTTCATCTTCAGCAATAATGAACACTATAATATTTATCTTGTAATAAACAATACCCTGATGATGACATTGTGCTATGTCGAAAGTACTCGGAATAAAAGAATTATGTATCAACACAGCAATTTTCTATCATCCTTCAATAACAACACTGAAAAGCTTTACCAAGAATATGAAAGGATCCAATTGAAAATAAGTTGACAGAACATGTCAAAATTATTCAACGAAACATGTCCTTCTCTCTCTCTCTCTCTCTCTCTATATATATATATATATATATATATATATATAACATATCAAAAACTGAGAGCTGGTGTTAATAAAATAGTGTTTGATGTAATATAACAGAACTTTTAAGTATATATTAAAAAAAAAAAAAGTTTTTACAGCTAATGCATATGTGCAGTTTGGGTTTTCCACTAAACACACACACATATATACATGTATATATATATTATTTCTCACTGGTGGCACAACTCACAACGCAATCACCAGGTGCTGAGTAGAGACTGCTATATAATTTAGATTTTAATAAAAATATCTGGTTAACTCAAAGCTGGTGCAGTCCGTATACTATATGGGGATTATGGATTTTAGTCTAAAAAAAAGTATATATATATATATATATATATATATATATATAGACAAGTTTTGTCTATTTATTTTAAGTTAATTCCTTTCATATTGTCTGATAAGCTTAATGGCATTATCGTTGAAAGATGAAAGGTAATCACCATATTCATACATATATTCTTAAATGCCTATAATTTATAATAGAAGCCATTGGTTTATACCAGCGGCTTGACATACTTAATACTTCTCGTTTTTCACTCTCGCAATTTACAAAAATTTAAAGAAATAAAACCCCATAAAATATATGGACTGTGCCAGAATTGTGTTTACCAGATATTGTTATTAAAATTTGAATTATGTAACAGTCAGTCTCTACTCAGCACCTGAAGACAGCGTCGTGCATTAAACTCCAATTTGTGCTACCAATGAGGAATTATATATATATATATATATATATATATATATATATATATGTGTGTGTGTATATGTAGTGGAAAAACCCAAATAGTACATATGCATTAGCTTTTAAAAATTTCATTTTTTTTTTTTTTTTTTTTCCTGCTTCAGAGAAATAATGAAAACATTTATAACATTTCATCCCCAACTTATTTGGACCGTCTTAATCCCCAACACCCTCTTAAACATGTTTGCAATATTTCTTTAAAATACATTAATTTCCTTTCTCTATGTCAGTGGCAGCCTTGGCAAATGAGAACAATGGCTTCTTGTAATTTAATAAAATTTGTTTTTAATATGTTTTGGATAAGGGAAGGAAGGAAAGGAAAATAAAAAGAGAGAAGGAAAAGCTAAATAAAGAAAAAGAGTAAACAAAAAATGACACAAGGTAGGGAGAAAAAAAACCCCCCAATAAATAGAAAAAAAAATCTAAAAAGAAAAGGAGAAAAAAATGAAAGAAAAAAAAGGAGATAAAACTGACTGTAAAAAAAAAAAAAAAAAAAAAAAAAAAGAGACAAAAGTAACAAAAAAAAAGAAAAGAAGACAAAAAAGAAAGGAAAAAGAAAAGGAGACAAAAAAGAAAGGAAAAAGAAAAGGAGACAAAAAAGAAAGGAAAAAGAAAAGGAGACAAAAAAGAAAGGAAAAAGAAAGAGAGACAAAAAAGAAAGGAAAAAGAAAGAGAGACAAAAAAGAAAGGAAACAGAAAGGGAGACAAAAAAGAAAGGAAAAAGGAAAGGAGACAAAAAAAGAAAGGAAAAAGAAAAGGAGACAAAAAAGAAAGGAAAAAGAAAAGGGGACAAAAAATGAAAGGAAAAAGAAAAGGGGACAAAAAAAGAAAGGAAAAAGAAAAGGGGACAAAAAAGAAAGGAAAAAGAAAAGGGGACAAAAAAGAAAGGAAAAAGAAAGGGGGACAAAAAAGAAAGGAAAAAGAAAAGGATACAAAAAAGAAAAGGATACAAAAAAGAAAAGGAAAAAGAAAAGGAGACAAAAAAATGACAAAATGTGTGAAAAAAAGAAAAATGGAAACAAAATGGTTGAAAAAAGGAGAAGACAAAAAATGGAATAAAAATAAAATGTAACAAAAAAAAGAGAGAGTAAAAAGGAAAGAAAAGAAAAAGACAAAAAGAGTAAAAAAAAAAAAAAAAGAGAGAGACAAGACCCACAAAATATTGTAAAATGGGAAAAATCCAGAAAAATCCCCAAAAAGACACAAAAAGGCTGAATAAAAAAAAAAGGTGAACAAAAAAATAAATTAATATAAATGGAGGAAAGACATAAAAAGAAAAGGGGGAGTGGAAGTAAATAGAAAAGCAAGAAAAGAAAACCAGAAGAAAATCTGAAAAAGAATAGAAAACGAAAAGGATGAACGAAAAGGTACAAAAAAAAAAAAAAAGAGAAAGGATAAATAGAAAAGCAGAATAAAGACAAAAAAAAAAAATGAAGAAAAAAAAATAGAAAAAAAAGGAAAGAAAAACAGAAAAAGAAAGAAGAAAAAAAAGACAGAAAGAAGAAGAAGAAAAAAGACAGAAAGAAGAAAAAAAAGACAGAAAGAAGAAAACAAAAGAAAGAAAGAAGAAAAAAAAGACAGAAAGAAGAAGAAAAAAAAAGACAGAAAGAAGAAGAAAAAAAAAGACAGAAAGAAGAAGAAAAAAAAAGACAGAAAGAAGAAAAAAAAGAAAGAAAGAAGAAAAAAAAGAAAGAAAGAAGAAAAAAAAAACAGAAAGAAGAAAAAAAAAGAAAGAAAGAAGAAAAAAAGACAGAAAGAAGAAGAAAAAAAAGACAGGAGAAAGAGAAAGAAAAAAAAATAAACAAAACTAAAAACTGTTTTTGTTTTTTTAATGCAATTAGCTTTTCCCTAGCAGACAAAATTCATTTTAAAGCTTTCTGATAAACATTCAGCAACATTTCCTCATTCCTTTTTACCCTTTTCAAACTAAACATTTTCATCATTACACAGTCTTCCTATTTTGAGACAAGTTTCCATCAATACTGAAGAACCCAGGTCTCCCTCCCTCCATTCATTCTTTTTTTTCTCCCAGCAAACATCAACGAAATTCTCAAGAGCATAAATTTTGTACACATATAACATTCACGTTGGACTAACTACTTACCCTATTATATACCTTTGTTCACTCTCTTCTTGTCTAAAATTTGATTATCGGACACATTTTAAACCAGCCACCATTAGTTTCTACATCTTCTACTGGAGTTCTTCGAATTCAGTTTAAAACTTAATTTACCAGTTTATACTAAAAAAAAAAAAAAAATACAACCCTTTCCACCGAGCAGACAATGATAACTGTGACGTTGCCCCCCCCTGGTCGCAGCGTCGACTGTGTCGTTCGATCTCGTTCGCGGCACTAGTTGTGACGTCACGTGCTCTCCAGGCTCTGATATCCTGGTCACGGACAGCACCAGTTGTGACGTCTTTGCCGCGGCGTCAGCTGTTCACTCCTCACTGCTCCAAGTGTGACGTTCTAACCCTTTGGTTAGATGAATACCAGCCTCGTCGTTCCCAACTCGCTTCCAACGCCTGGTTACTAGGGTAACTGCACTGATCTCCGGTCTGCCTACCCACGTTGTGATTAGATCTTAGACAGACGGGATCAAACAGGAATTGGGGCCATAAGCAAGCTAAGTTCAACAGGGGTGGTAACACACAAGAAAAAGAAAAACTCACAAGGTCAAAAATTATTGAAAAAAAAAGGTATTAACCTTTTATATCCAAATGTTTGTTACACAAAATTGTTCCTACCTCCCGACCCGTTTTATGGACTGTGGCACCAAGCTTCTACCATACAACTTTAAGACTTCGAGTTGCTTGTTCTCTAGAAATTTGCATTTCGGGGTGTAGTTTGGTTTCGACACTGGGAGCTGATCTCTACCAGTCGTTCCACGGCTGATTTCCCTCGCCGTCAGTCGCGCAATTAATTCTTCTCTTCTGCTTGGGTGGGCGAATTTATTCACTTGACTTGAGTTGGGCTTAATTTCTTTACGCCATGTGGGTTGGACCAATTTCTATTCTTAGGCTTGGTTTGATTTCAACTTCTTCTAGGCGCAACTGCAAGTAACTTCTTCTTACCGTCCGGCCCAACTAAAACCAAACTCAACTGCAACTTCTCTGCCTGTCCGGCCTGCAACTGATTTCTGTCGATTGGGGTCCTGCTTTTATTGACGCCGTAACAAACTGGGGTGGGTCTGTCGGGCGCCAGGTTTTTCTTGATAATTCTAAAAGTCGCATTATTTCTGATTTCCCATTATCGCTCTTACTTTCACTCCTACTTCCTTACAGTGCCTCTGGGGGGGCGCATACCCTTCCCCTGGTCTCTCGTATGTCAGGTGACCGCTCTCGACCAATGGGGTCCTGGTCGAACGTCTTTCCTCCTCCCTCGCACATCACGTGACCGCTCTTGGCCAATGAGACCCTGGTCGGGTGTCTCTCCTCCTCCCTCATGTATCATGTGACTGCCCTCGGCTAATGAGACTCTGGTCGGTATCTTCCCTCCTTCCTTCGTGACGTCTCCAATCGGGCGTGGACAATCCGTGGCTTTGTTCTGGGGGGAAGAAATACCTTGCTTAAAAAAAACAAAATCCAAATTGTCCTTTTCGCACGAAAATGTCGATTTCGGTTTCTTTCACATTTGGCATTTGTCAAAACAGCCTGCCGCTAATTAGATGCGACTTAAAGAAAGAATTTTTCCGCCTTGTCGGCGTCTTCCATAAGCTAAAACAATTGTTTTCACCTCTTTCTTCGCATGCGGGCCTGTTAACAAAATCTTAATTATCTAAATTGAAAATATTCTTCACTCATCATCGTGGGTGGTTCTTATCTTCAACTCTAGAACTGGTCAGGGTTCGTGTACCAATGTTTTGTTTTTTTTCACATTTCCCAGCGGTCACTTATCATCTCAATGACACCCCTTTTCGTTCGTTACCTATTAATATTTTTTTTTCCTTGTCCTTAAAATCTTATTTCTTCAACCAAATTGATAATAAACTCCCATACTCCGCGGACACGAAAGTAGGTCAGGTGCTTGACCGACATCTGTTATGCATCAATCGCGCTCACTACCCCGTCTCGTATCATTATTTCTAAACTCTATTCCTTCAACCAAATATAACAATTTCTATTTTCCGTGGATTTCGGTCAGGTACTTTGACCTGGATATCTTTTGACGCGTGTTTTGCTTATGACCGGGTTTTGTACTATCTATTTCTCTTTCTTTTTATTATTTCTTTTTTTTTTCTTTCCTTTTTCTTTCTTTCGGATCGCCTAAATACAATTAGAGAATTATTCTCAAAACTCAATTATTCTTTGTCTCTAAATAACTATCAACTGGTTAACAAACCGAATAAAAATAAATCATATTTTTATGAATATCTCTTTTCAGTTTTCTAATAATGCAGGGTGCCACATAACCCTCACATTGCATTCTGATTCTTGATATAGGCACTGTGCACTGAAAGCTGGGAAAGGACCCACTGCATGCTCACAAGTTAACACAATAAAAGACAAACACCACATTGAGAATAAGTATGTGACACTTCTTTCCCATATTATACGTAGATTCTTTCATTCAGAGCTTCGCCTGCTCATTTGTGGAGTAAGTAGGTGATATTTGTTATAATTTCTGTCATGTCAGCTCCTCCTCTTACCAACTAGCTACTCATCCCAATGTGGCAGCTGGCAATACAAACAGAACCTTCAGAACTACACGATGGACATGTCCATCACCTGCCAAGGTTGGACCAGAACTCACCCTGATCCAAAATATGACTGTTAATATAGACCAGCACTCGGATATACCCTATTTCCGGTTTTGTTGCTACTTGACCTCCAAAAAACCCTTAATCCACTCTTTTGCTTCCTATTTCCCTTTGGATGCAGCTAAGAAGACTGAACTTCAAAAGGAACCATCTGCTGGTCCATCAAATAGAAGCACTTGTGGGTGAGATAAAACCACCTCTTCCCCATCTATGTAGGTATCCATAGTACAGGAATCACCATGAATTTGCTAAAAAAGAGCATACCGTGCTGAAAAAAAAAGCCCCAAACTTGATGAAAACAATTTATCATCTAAATGCCTATGTTATTATTAAGAGGAAAGACCAAAGCATTTTTTTATATTTTTTTAATCCTTCCTAGCACATCCAAAATTTTAGTTAAAAATCTTGTTTTCTTTTTAGTCAGTGAAATTACTATAAAATCAAAGATATCCATCATTTTTGACAAATTTGTGAGCAAATGTTAAATTCTCCATTTAAAAATCTTGTAAAAATCAATATCTTTTTCAAAAGTTATTTGAGGAAAATTAGAAAATTTAAAGTTTATTTAATACATTTGGAAACAAGCATTACTTTCTTTGCAGAAAAAGTGTAGTTTAAAATAAGAGAAAACATGTCTAACAACAGTGACTGTTGGCAAGCAATGGATAATTGTTTCATCGACATATTGACAACTAATGTTTGGGGAAGTTATCATATGGAAGAACAGAAGTGACGTAATTTTTTCTATTTTTTTTTTAAGTTTCTACTTATTAACCTTGTAACTTTTAAGAAATAACAAATACATTCAGCAGTCTAATATTTTATTAATTTTTTTTTTATTTTTTAGGTACTTCAGCCATAACCTTTTGTTGTTGAAGATGCTTTCTGCAAAAATTAAAAATACTATAAAAAAAAATATTAAATTTCATAACTGCTGTGAATGAGATTAAATTTCATAAGAGAAGCACCTATAATTTTTATGCACATCTCATGAAATTTTGGGGTTTTATTTTTATTAATTTTCTATTTTATCTCCATTATTAATTTTTATATTATCTCATTTATGTGAAATTGTCATAAATGAGATAATACAAAAATAAGACCATATAAATAAAAATAAGACCATATAAATTTCATAATTATCTAATAATTTTAGTTACTTTTCACATTCGTTTTTTAATGTGTTAATTTTTTTTTTCCTTATTTTTTAATCGCCACGATGGAGTAATGGAGAGCGGCTCAGACTGGGGAAGCTGGGAGCCAAGTTCAAATTCCAGTCAAATCCATTACATTCCTTTACGTGCTAACACCCTTGGGAATCTATGAATCCTCTTATGGCAGGACAGACCAGGTTCTGTAGCCTTGGATGGAAACTGGTCTACTGCAGAAAGAAATGGCAACCTACTGCGGGGAAAAAAAATCTGCCTCATCTGTCATGTATCGAAAGATACATGATCACTTAAGCGTGTATGGATCTAATTAATGCCTATATCTTCAAGGACACATGGCACAGTAGATAAAGGCGTTAGTTAGATCCAGTAACAGGACCCAAAGAGTGTGAGTTCAATACCCAGTTAAGGCAGTGGAGAACTTGGAGAGGGGAATTAACAGGAGATAACTGACAACTGACATCGATTAAACATGGCACGTGGAACTACAACAGTCTACCCTAGTGAGCGAAATAAAGGGTTCAGTTCGACATTACAACCACCTGAAGAAGGCCAGAGCATACAACGGCTGAAACTTTGTAATAAATATGGCGACAAAGATGAGGACAATAGTCCAAATAACGTAAATAGTGTACATAATATCTCATCTCAGAAATATAGACAGATACTGAACGGCCAAAACATTGTGATAAATATGGCGACAAAGATGAGGATAATAGTCTGAATAATATAAATAGTGTACATAATACCTCATCTCAGAAATATAGACAGATACAAAAAACAATGTAAAATTCTATTTTAAATACTGGTGGTTTGCAGAATGAAATAAGCTTTAAAATTTATGATCTGTAAAGATAGATGTTACTTAATAACACCAT